TCAAGCGGGAGTGGAGAAGGCAGAATGGAGATTACAGACTAGAGAGTGACAGCATAAACAAACTCAACAGGAAAGAACAAACATCAATTTTTAGACTTCGGACTGGACACTGTGGTCTTCGAGCACACCTGTACAGGATAGGCATAAAAGAATCTGCTGCCTGTGATTGTGGAGCAGAAAGACAGACACCTGAGCACATACTGCAGTACTGCCCTTACTCACAGCAAAGACTGTAGCCTTCATACGTCCCGCAGTTTGGTTTGTTACCACATTTTAGCGTTCTGTCTCTCTGCTTGTCTCTGTCTGCCTGCTTCTCTCTCTCTCTCTCTCTCTCTCTCTCTCTCTCTCTCTCTCTCTCTCTCTCTCTCTCTCTCTCTCTCTCTGACTTTCAGTGAAATGTAATCAAGTACTTGAGATCTCCTGACTTGTCCCCAAATCCCGACCCCCCCCCCCCTGCCCCCGAGGCCTCCATCTATAGTTATGAAGCCCCCTTCCCTCGGGGGCCGGGCAAGAATAAGAAGAAATCATTGGGGGAATTTGATTTCCAAAAGTTGGATTTTGTTGTGTACAAGCGTGACTGTGGCTGGCTAGTCGTCTAATTGCTGTAAACAGGTTTTCAATATCCGTTTGCGGCGAGAACCTACTCAAGTACCAGCTTATAGAGTTTTTAAAAGGAGTAGAAAATTATAGGGAAGAGAAAAAGTTGGTAAGAAACAACAAATAGTTTATGTTAGCTTTACAAAATCGATCACAATAAACAAACAAAGGACGTTGAGGCGATTAGCCTTCATCAGCACATAAAGGACAACACGGTACACATACACAAATATGATCTAACTATGAAGTGACTACACAGGACTCTAATGTATAAAATAAATGATACTCATCTATGTCCCTGGCGAAAAAACTTCGTACAATTAAATGACTAGGTCTGACTGACTTTCTACCCCACCAGGACATCACACAAGCGATAAACACCCGATGACACAAAGTGCCATCATGCGGATGAGGATCACCGTGGAGAGGTCCCAGAAACCGCGTTCAGACATTTGGCCATATTGATGGCCTGCCTATATTGCGGTCCCTGGCAAAAGCTAGAGTGGGATATGGTCAGCTACTAGCCTATATATCTGCAACGCGCGGGCTGGGTGCAAAAATGGGGCGGAGTAGACGCCAACAGCGGTTTTCTAAGGAGGGAGGGAGGGGTTGGTCTATTAGGCGTAACCAGGGTTGGGTTGTGGGGATGACATTAGTCCATCCGCATGGAATAAAGGTGGTGCCTGTGCTAGCAAACAAATACCAACAGATGATAGACAGATAGATAGATAGATAGATAGATAGATAGATAGATAGATAGATAGATAGATAGATAGATAGATAGATAGATAGATAGATAGATAGATAGATAGATAGATAGATAGATAGATAGATAGATAGATAGATAGATAGATAGATAGATAGATAGATAGATAGATAGATAGATAGATAGATAGATAGATAGATAGATAGATAGATAGATAGATAGATAGATAGATAGATAGATAGATAGATAGATAGATAGATAGATAGATAGATAGATAGATAGATAGATAGATAGATAGATAGATAGATAGATAGATAGATAGATAGATAGATAGATAGATAGATAGATATATATATAGATAGATAGATGGATTAGATAGATTAGATAGATACATAGTCACTACAACGGGAAGTCAGCGCTGCCAACTGAGCCATATATTTACACAACATATTGCTGTTCATCTCTGGACCCTCCCAGCCCTTGTATCAGACAGATAGGGCCCCAGGTCAGCTGGCAGGTTCCAGGTCGGTGGATTTCTTCTCTGTTGAAGTGGCCAAGCAATCGGCAATTATGGACAGAAAAAAAAATGTGGTCCGAAAAGGTGCGGACAAATATGCCTAGTTATAAGAGGTCATGATCTGGGTGCCACTTCCTGGGTCGCTCCCATAGTTCGACGTGTGAGGTCGGGAAGTGATCTAAAGGCTTTATGAATGACGAGCTCTCTGAAGCAGCCCGGCGCGGACAATTGGCAACAGACTGTTTCACTAACCGAGCTCAAAGGCCAGCCAATGCCTCTCGTTCCCCTTACAATCGCCTCAGTTACGCAAATTCTTTTCACCGGCATGAACGTGTGGCCGACATAATGTGTTTATAAACGAGATCTTTTGTGGATGATTCTATCGCTGTCAGATGAATTAGCTTCCAGGGTCCTTTCCTTGATGCGTGTGGCCGACAGCGGTGGAGAACCCTGAAACAGGGGCAAGTTATTCACTGGTTCCACATGAATGGTCACAGCCATGTCTGATATTTTGAGGGGTGATTCATGGGGATTGGAGCGGTTAAGGCCCCTGACACGTCGTTAGGGCACTTTAATCTGTTTGACGAGGAGCTTCAGATCCGGGTTTCTGATCAGTGAGTGGGTGGTTAAACCCTAGAGTGGTTTGTCTAGCGTCGTTTGTCTAGCGTGGTTTGTCTAACGTGGTTTGTCTCAGTGAGCACAGCGGTTTAGAAACAAACAGCGGTGTACAAATGGAACAAACGTATACATCGACCTGGTGTATAAGTCGACCTCAAGAGTTTAAGAGATGCTCACCCACACATGTTGAGAGAGACAGATAGGAGAGAGAGAGAGAGAGAGAGAGAGAGAGAGAGAGAGAGAGAGAGAGAGAGAGTGCCTCTGACCATCTATCTATAAGTGCTTCTGACCATCTATAAGTGCCTCTGACCATCTATGAGTGCCTCTGACCATCTTGAAGTGCCTCTGACCATCTATAAGTGCCTCTGACCATCTATAAGTGCCTCTGACCATCTAAAAGTGCCTCTGACCATCTATAAGTGCCTCTGACCATCTATAAGTGCCTCTGACCATCTATAAGTGCCCCTGACCATCTTGAAGTGCCTCTGACCATCTATAAGTGCCTCTGACCATCTATAAGTGCCTCTGACCATCTATAAGTGCCTCTGACCATCTATAAGTGCCTCTGACCATCTATAAGTGCCTCTGACCATCTTGAAGTGCCCCTGACCATCTATAAGTGCCTCTGACTATCTATAAGTGCCTCTGACCATCTATAAGTGCCTCTGACCATCTATAAGTGCCTCTGACCATCTTGAAGTGCCTCTGACCATCTATAAGTGCCTCTGACCATCTATAAGTGCCTCTGACCATCTATAAGTGCCTCTGACCATCTATAAGTGCCTCTGACCATCTATAAGTGCCTCTGACCATCTTGAAGTGCCTCTGACCATCTATAAGTGCCTCTGACCATCTATAAGTGCCTCTGTCCATCTGTAAGTGCCTCTGACCATCTATAAGTGCCTCTGACCATCCATAAGTGCCTCTGACCATCTATAAGTGCTTCTGACCATCTATAAGTGCCTCTGACCATCTTGAAGTGCCTCTGACCATCTATAAGTGCCTCTGACCATCTATAAGTGCCTCTGTCCATCTATAGGTGCCTCTGACCATCTATAAGTGCCTCTGACCATCCAAAAGTGTCTCTGACCATCTATAAGTGCCTCTGACCATCTATAAGTGCCTCTGACCATCTATAAGTGCCTCTGACCATCTATAAGTGCCTCTGAACATCTATAAGTGCCTCTGTCATCTATAGGTGCCTCTGACATCTATAAGTGCCTTTGACATCTATAAGTGCCTCTGATATCTATAAGTGCCTCTGACACTCTATAGGTGCCTCTGACATCTATAGGTGCCTCTGACATCTATAAGTGCCTCTGACATCAATAGGTGCCTTTGACATCTATGAGTGCCTTTGACGCTCTATTGGTGCCTCTGACCATCTATAAGTGTCTCTGACTATCTAAAAATGCCTATGACATCTATGTGCCTCTGACCATCTATAGGTGCCTCTGACCATCTATAAGTGCCTCTTACCATCTATAAGTGCCTCTGACCATCAATCTATAAGTGCCTCTGACCATCTATAAATGCCTCTGACCATTTATAAATGCCTCTGACCATCTATAAATGCCTCTGACCATCTATAAGTGCCTCTGACCATCTATAAAATCCTCTGACCATCTATAAGTGCCTCTGACCATCAATCTATAAGTGCCTGTGACCATCTATAGGTGCCTCTGACCATCTATAAGTGCCTCTGACCATCTATAAGTGCCTGTGACCAACTATAGGTGCCTCTGACCATCTATAAGTGCCTCTGACCATCTTACTATAAGTGCCTCTGTCCATCTATAAGTGCCTCTGACCATCTAAAGGTGCCTCTGACCATTTATAAGTGCCTCTGTCCGTCTATACGCGCAAGGGCATCACTATACGTAAGAAGCCCACATGCTCCAGAAATATCAAAAGTACATCTGTACAGTATCATAAATATTGATGATGAAATATCAAAAGTACAGATGTACAGTATCATAAATATTGATGATGAAATATCAAAAGTACAGCTGTACAGTATAATAAATTTTGATGATGAGATATCAAAAGTACAGCTGTACAGTATCATAAATATTGATGATGAAATATCAAAAGTACAGCTGTACAATATCAGAAATATTGATGATGAAACATCAAAAACACCTGTACAATTTGAGAAAGATTGACGATAAAATATAAACAATTCATCTGTACAATATCAGAAATATTGATGATGAAACAACACAAACGACGATAAAATATTGAAAAGAATACAGTATAATGTAAGAAACACTGACGATAAAAAAAAAAAAAAAAACACACACACACACAACCATGTACAATGTCAGAAATACTGAAGATAAAATATCAAAAACACAACTGCATAAATGCCGAAACATTGTCTATTTAATATCCCCCCCCCCCCCCCAAAAAAAAAAAAAAAACAGCTGTAGAATATCAGAAACAAGAGCACATGTAAGAGAAGAGACTTTGATGTACAATAATTTGTTGTGATGTTGTCTGCTCCACAGAGAGAGAGGGAGAGAGAGAGAGAGAGAGAGAGCGTCAGGCCAGCACACAGGGATGCAGCTTGCTAGCCTGCTGCTGGTACTTGCAGTCAGGCTGTGCAGCTGTGGGATGCTGGACTCACACGCTTCCAAGTTTTACTTCCAGCTGCTGCAGTCCACGGGGAAAGATTATCTCCCGGAGAGGCACGGCAGCAACGGTCAGCGACAACCTGTCCCCTCCGACCACCTACCGCTGGTCAACCTTGTGGAGGATGATGATGATGCCCGCGATCCGCGGCCTAGTGACATCAACGTGACACAACTGCGTCAACAGCTGGGCAGCGAGTTCGACAGGGAGTTCATGTCCCTGGAGGCACCAAGGAGGAGAGTGGACAAACTTCATCTGCAGTTTCTCAATGGCAAACCCAAAGGTCGTCGACCTCCTTTCCTGCGCTTGTTGCGTTCTGCGCGCCTCCAGGACGGCAGCAGACTGACATTAAACCTGCCCAGGAATGAGCGCAGAAGGCTGCAGAAGTTTGTATGGAATTTGACGTTTTGTCCGGTCAGATATTCTTGGAAATTTCTAGGCCGTCGCGTGTGGCCGCAGTGGATCAAGGAAGGCTCGTGTTTCAGCACGCGCTCCTGCTCCATCCCACCAGGAATGACTTGTCAACAGAGAGCTCAGACTTACAAAACTTTCCTCCGCTGGCACTGCGAGAACTTCGAGAGGCGGCAGCACTGTCGCTGGATCGAGTTCCTGTATCCAATCATCACAGAATGTTCTTGTTCCTGCTAGACCAAGGGCCTCACAGCCTTGACATTTCATTTCACAGTGTTTCCACAGACACGCTGAGTCTTTCGGCGTCTTCACCTTCCCCAGTGATGTCCCAGGATTTTGGGACTTTCATGAAACTAGGGGTTGTCCCAGGATGTGCGGACCTTTTCCGAAACCAGGGGGTGTCCCAGGATTTGGGGACCTTCCTGAAAATAAGGGGGTGTCCCAGGATTTGTGGACCTTCCTGAAACTAGGGGGGGGGGGGGTGTCCCAGGATATGTGGACCTTCCCGAAACTAGAGGGGTGTCCCCGGATTGAGGGACTTTTCCGAAACCAAGGGGGTGTCCCAGGCTGTGGGTGATCAGTGTTTGTGTCAGAGAATGTCATGCCACTATGTGATATATCCATGTCCATGACATGCCATTATGTGATACATCTATGTCGATGGCATGCCACTTTGTGATACATCTATGTCCTCGTGTTTTTTTAAAATTGCATTCTAGTGTTAAACCGTGGTAACTCATCTGACATCCTAAATGTGTAGTGGAACACAATTTGGAGATCCCTGTTGGCGATGACAAACATAGAGCTCCCAAGTCTGACACAATCTCAGTAGACTCAATCCACCGAGGATGCGCCCCAGTCTCCTCCTTAGATACTGTTGTGTTATGTCCCAATGTTAAAGGATGTAGCATCCCAATGTTAGAGATTGTTGTGTCCCAAAGTTAGAGGTTGTTGTGTCCCAATGTTAAAGGCTGTTGTGTCTAAATGTTATAGGTTGTTGTGTCCCCGTGTTAGAGGTTGTTGTGTCCCTGTGTTAGAGGTTATTGTGTTCCTGTGTTAGAGGTTGTGTCCCTGTGTTAGAGGTTGTTGTGTCCCTGTGTTAGAGGTTGTTGTGTCCCTGTGTTAGAGGTTGTTGTGTCCCTGTGTTAGAGGTTGTTGTGTCCCTGTGTTAGAGGTTATTGTGTCCCTGTGTTAGAGGTTGTTGTGTCCCTGTGTTAGAGGTTGTTGTGTCCCTGTGTTAGAGGTTGTTGTGTCCCTGTGTTAGAGGTTGTTGTATCCCTGTGTTAGAGGTTGTTGTGTCCCTGTGTTAGAGGTTGTTGTGTCCCTGTGTTAGAGGTTATTGTGTCCCTGTGTTAGAGGTTGTTGTGTCACAGTGTTAGAGGTTGTTGTGTCCCTGTGTTAGAGGTTGTGTCCCTGTGTTAGAGGTTGTTGTTTCCCAGTGTTAGAGGTTGTTGTGTCATAATGTTAGAGGTTGTTATTTCCCAATGTTAGAAGTTGCTGTGTCCCAATTTTAGAGGTTGTTGTGTCCCAATGTTAGAGTTTGTTGTATCCCAAAGTTAGAGGTTGTTGTGTCCCAATGTTAAAGGTTGTTGTGTCCCAATGTTAGAGGTTGTTTTTTCCCCAATGTTAGAGGTTGTTGTGTCCCAGTGTTAAATTTTGTTTTGTCCAAATTTTAGAGGTTGTTGTGTCCCAATGATAGAGTTTGTTGTATCCCAAAGTTAGAGGTTGTTGTATCCCAGAGTTAGAGGTTGTTGTGTCATAATGTTAGAGGTTGTTGTTTCCCAGTGTTAGAGGTTGTTGTGTCATAATGTTAGAGGTTGTTATTTCCCAGTGTTAGAGGTTGTTGTGTCCCAGTGTTAGAGGTTGTTGTATCCCAATGTTAGAGGTTGTTGTGTCCCAGTGTTAGAGGTTGTTGTATCCCAATGTTAGAGGTTGTTGTGTCCCAATGTTAGAGGTTGTTGTGTCCCAATGTTAGAGGTTGTTGTGTCCCAATGCTACAGGTTGTTGTATCCCAATGTTAGAGGTTGTTGTGTCCCAATGCTAGAGGTTGTTGTGTCCCAATGTTAGAGGTTGTTGTGTCATAATGTTAGAGGTTGTTGTGTCCCAGTGTTAGAGGTTGTTGTATCCCAATGTTAGAGGTTGTTGTGTCCCAGTGTTAGAGGTTGTTGTGTCCCAATGTTAGAGGTTGTTGTGACCCAATGTTAGAGGTTGTTGTGTCCCAATGCTAGAGGTTGTTGTGTCCCAGTGTTAGAGGTTGTTGTGTCCTAATGTTAGAGGTTGTTGTGTCCCAGTGTTAGAGTTTGTTGTATCCCAATGTTAGAGGTTGTTGTGTCCCAATGTTAGAGGTTGTTGTGTCCCAATGTTAGAGGTTGTTGTGACCCAATGTTAGAGGTTGTTGTGTCCCAATGTTAGAGGTTGTTGTGACCCAATGTTAGAGGTTGTTGTGTCCCAATGCTAGAGGTTGTTGTGTCCCAATGTTAGAGGTTGTTGTGTCCCAGTGTTAGAGGTTGTTGTATCCCAGTGTTAGAGGTTGTTGTATCCCAATGTTAGAGGTTGTTGTGTCCCAATGTTAGAGGTTGTTGTGTCCCAATGTTAGAGGTTGTTGTGTCCCAATGTTAGAGGTTGTTGTGTCCCAATGTTAGAGGTTGTTGTGTCCCAATGTTAGAGGTTGTTGTATCCCAATGTTAGAGGTTGTTGTATCCCAATGTTAGAGGTTGTTGTATCCCAATGTTAGAGGTTGTTGTATCCCAATGTTAGAGGTTGTTGTATCCCAATGTTAGAGGTTGTTGTGTCCCAATGCTAGAGGTTGTTGTGTCCCAATGTTAGAGGTTGTTGTGTCCCAGTGTTAGAGGTTGTTGTGTCCCAGTGTTAGAGGTTGTTGTGTCCCAATGTTAGAGGTTGTTGTGTCCCAGTGTTAGAGGTTGTTGTGTCCCAATGTTAGAGGTTGTTGTGTCCCAATGTTAGAGGTTGTTGTGTCCCAGTGTTAGAGGTTGTTGTGTCCCAATGCTAGAGGTTGTTGTGTCCCAATGTTATAGGTTGTTGTGTCCCAATGTTAGAGGTTGTTGTGTCCCAATGTTAGAGGTTGTTGTGTCCCAATGTTAGAGGTTGTTGTGTCCCAGTGTTAGAGGTTGTTGTATCCCAATGTTAGAGGTTGTTGTATCCCAATGTTAGAGGTTGTTGTGTCCCAGTGTTAGAGGTTGTTGTATCCCAATGTTAGAGGTTGTTGTATCCCAATGTTAGAGGTTGTTGTGTCCCAGTGTTAGAGGTTGTTGTGTCCCAATGTTAGAGGTTGTTGTATCCCAATGTTAGAGGTTGTTGTGTCCCAATGCTAGAGGTTGTTGTGTTCCAATGTTAGAGGATGTTGTGTCCCAGTGTTAGAGGTTGTTGTATCCCAATGTTAGAGGTTGTTGTATCCCAATGTTAGAGGTTGTTGTGTCCCAATGTTAGAGGTTGTTGTATCCCAATGTTATAGGTTGTTGTGTCCCAATGTTATAGGTTGTTGTGTCCCAAAGTTAGAGGTTGTTGTGTCCCAATGTTAGAGGTTGGTGTGTCCCAATGTTAGAGGTTGTTGTATCCCAATGTTAGAGGTTGTTGTGTCCCAATGTTATAGGTTGTTGTGTCCCAATGTTAGAGGTTGTTGTGTCCCAATGTTAGAGGTTGTTGTGTCCCAATGTTAGAGGTTGTTGTGTCCCAATGTTAGAGGTTGGTGTGTCCCAATGTTAGAGGTTGTTGTATCCCAATGTTATAGGTTGTTGTGTCCCAATGTTAGAGGTTGTTGTATCCCAATGTTATAGGTTGTTGTGTCCCAATGTTAGAGGTTGTTGTGTCCCAATGTTAGAGGTTGTTGTGTCCCAGTGTTAGAGGTTGTTGTGTCCCAGTGTTAGAGGTTGGTGTGTCCCAATGTTAGAGGTTGTTGTGTCCCAATGTTAGAGGTTGTTGTATCCCATAGTTAAAGGTTGTTGTGCCACAATGTTCCCAAAAAAAAGAAAAAATTTTCTAGATAGCGCAGGAATATGTCTGGAAACAAGCGAAGAAGAGGAAAGACGACGTTATTAAATCGTGAGTTATTCTAGACTGACTGACAGAACTACTATTCTGATTGACAGAACTGCTATACTGATTGACAAAATTGCTATACTGACTGACAGAACTGCTATACTGATTGACATAACTGCCATACTGATTGACAGAATTGCTATACTGATTAACAGAATTGCTATACTGATTGACAGAATTGCTGTACTGATTGACAGAATTGCTGTACTGATTGACATAATTGCTGTACTGATTAACAGAATTGCTGTACTGATTGACAGAACTGCTATACTGATTGACAGAACTGCTAGTGTTTTATCTTCAAGCATTCGTGGTATGTTTTGTGGGTGGCCTGCTCTGGGTTCATATCTCTATCATTAGATAAAACTCGAAACGACAATGGGCAACTAACAATCAACAACAAACCTGGACAGACAATTAGTGAAATTCCTACAGACCGACATATTTGTGGCGAAAAGCGCCCTTTTCTCACTTCATTGCATGCATATATATGTATTGGTATGTATATATGTGTGTGAGTATACGTGTATGTGTATAAATATGTATGTATTCGTGTGCATAAACATGTGTGTAGTAATTTATGCTGGGATATAATTGAGAGTAAACCATAATGGGCGTGGAGGTGTAGCATGGGCAGCTGGTTAGGTGTATTTTATTGGCACCTTTCCGTCTTTCCAGACGATAGTTGTATATTGCGCTATGAGGAGGCATGAGACTCACAGTCCATGGCGATGGCGAGTGTGACTAGCAAGACCCGCCCGTGTCAAGAAAAGTCTTCCACAATGATAGCATGGGATTTCAGGACCATTGTTAACAACATTTGTGTTTAATCCGTTTCTTTTCAGACGCTCAGCTCTCATCCTTTCTACAATCATTTCTCCCTTCAGTCTCATTCCCTTCCTGATATGCCCTTTCCACACAACATTGTCCATGGTATTTTGTTCCCATGAGTCCGCCTCAATACCTGTACCATTCATGTCCCGCTTGCACACATCTTTATAACATGGTAGAGGTCGGCCTCGACATCTTCTTCCTGTCTTCAATTCACCATAAAGGATGTCCTTAGGGACTCTGCCATCATCCATTCTCCAGGTGTGATCCAGCCACCTGAGCATTCGTAGACTGAGGATGGAAAAGACTGTTGTAGTACCTGCTCTTTCCAGTACCTCAGTGTTTGTGAT